CCACATGGTGGCTCACAGCCATCTACTATGAGATCTAGTGCCCTTTTCTGGTGTTCAGGCAAAACATGCAGCCAGAATACTGTATACATAATAAATAGATAATAATTTTAAAAGAAGAAGAAGAAGAAGAAGAAGAAGAAGAAGAAGAAGAAGAAGAAGAAGAAGAAGAAGAAGAAGAAGAAGAAAGAAAGAAGAAGAAGAAAGAAGAAGAAGAAGAAGAAGAAAAGGAAAGGAAACAGTGGAGCCAGATGTGCTAGCACACACCTTTGATCTAGGACTCAGGAGGCAGAGGCCGGCAGAGCTCTGGGAGCTCTAGGTCAGCCTGATCTACATTGTGAGTTCCAGGTCAGCCCAAGCTATATAGTAGTATCTGAAAAAATTAAGAGAAATCAAAATTCTAGATAGCACATTTTCACAGAACTTTATATGTACAGCTTCCATGAAGCCTGAGTTCCACACAGTTCCAAGTATGTCTTTAGTTGTAATACCATGTTAGAATGTTATTTAGGATGTGAGATTAATCACCACACCAAGTGCTGCTGCTCACTGACTAAGGAACCACGGATGTCTCCTGTTTAGCTAAGAGTGGCAACATCTGAGTAACGAATCAGAAATGCTAGCTCTTATGCCATGAAAAATTCCAGTAAATATCCATGTAATAAATACCCTACATCAGTGCTGGGAGAGTAAGGATGAACTGATCCTGACTGAGGCCAGCCTGGGCTACGTAGTGAGTGTTCCAGATCAGTCTGAGCTACATAGTAAGAACTTGCCTCCAGAGAGAGAGAGAGACAGAGACAGAGACAGAGAGAGGAAAAAGAAAGAAAAAAGAAAACTAAATGCAAACCTTCACATTTGCTCCACGGCTTTCAAAGATAAATCCACACTTTCCTACAAAGCAAAGATGAATTGCTTTATTTTGAATTTGATAATCAAATAAATGAAATTCTGATTTCTTTCAGAATATGCCTGGAACACAAAACCTAGCCGAGGCCCGTTTTCAGGACGAACTTACAATCCCACAGCAAAAAAAGTCAATATCATGAACCGCACACAGCCAGTCCCCTCGGTGCACGGGAGGACAGACTGGGTGGCTAAGTACGGAGGCCACCGGTAGGAGGGGTGGACACCCTGAAACATCACTCCGCAGAGGACTGTCCAGCCCCTGACCCTGGGAGATGTCTACAGTCTATTTCTACTGAGCCCAAGAAACACACCACTGTGGGTACCTCAAAGAGCAGAAGTCGGCTCCCGTTTTCCTCCTTTCCTGGAAATGCAATGAGTTTCCTTACTCGTGGCCCATGGTGCTGATGCAGCACCGTGCCGAGGACTTTCGTGCGGGATTTTACAGAGTATTGAATAAACTATTTGCCAAAGTATCAAGTATTTGATCTACAAATTACTAGACAAGTGCATAAGCTTTTATAGCTATGACTCTGGGAAGTAAGGGTAGAGAATTTCATTCTTGCTTGCTGCCTGTTAGCCTAAGCTGTTGTTCTGGTCACTGCAGAGACCTAGCGGCCTGAGCAGTTGGCATAGTGGGAGGCAAGCCTCTGGGTGGACTTGGCGGTGGCTCTCTCCACCTCGGCAGTGTCAGGAAGATGGTAGTTACCTTTTGGTTTTCTACATTTGGAACTCAGAGAGGAGTGACGGGGCAACTCTTAGCGGGAAACCAGCTTCTCTCCAGCCTCGAGAGACTAGCAGAGTGTGCCAGGCTGACGTGAGCCCTGTTGCCGGATCTTGAGCAAACTGAACTCAAGACGACCACCTGACTCTGTGGCTGGTAAGTTCTACATTGCTCACACCAGGGTTCTCGTCGTCTCATCATTAAGAACGTTCTGGAAACCATATCTGATGCTTGTTCATCTGACTCTCCAACTCTTGATTCTGTGTTTCTACCGGACACAAAGGTAAAGTGTGCCAGCTGGCCCCCAGGCAAACCCTGGCTGCTGCAGGTTCTGATCTTCAAGTTCCAGCCACAGGGCGAACATGCTCAATTGCCATGGCAGGGTTTCGTGTAGTTCATTGTCCTTAGTTTTGTTACTAAATTGTTTTTTAATAGATATTTTGAAGTTGGACTATTTTAAACCTGCCACTCGCTTGGCTGGACATGACTAGTACTGTATATTCTTTTGAAAGAATAATGTTATTGCCTGCTGATATTTTTATGTATGTCTGGCTTTGTAATAGATGCTGATATAATTGACATCATTTTGTGGGCATTGCTCATAGGCATATTATCAAATTATATATTTTTGTATAGAAGATATAGCTGTTCATATTTACATGTTTAAAATGTTAAACTTGGAATGGTAATTTATCCTGGTTATGTGTATTTGTACAGTTTTATTGTCTCAGAGTTAATAAAAATTCCTTGGTGTTTCTGAGAAACATGGACTCTGATTACATATAAGGTTAACTAGTGTTTTTATTATTAAACTTTATTATATTCTGTGGTCCATTTTGTTGTGGTTATTTTTCATGTTTTTTTTTTTAAGCAGCATATATGTTTGGCATCGTTGGGACATTTTTGAACAATGTGTTTCTGTGGCTCTCCTTTTCCCGTCTCCCCTATCCCTTAGCTGCTCTTCCCACCCTGTCATGTCCCACGTGTCCTCTGCCCACTCCCACCCTTCCTCATCACCTGCCAGTACCCTCTCTGGGTCTCCTTTCTAAGTCTGTAGACTTTACCAGCCCTTATACTTTTGTGTACATACATGTACACATTATAGGCTAGGAGTCACGTCGGAGGAAGAACGCGCAGTTTTAGCCTGTGTGTGGCCCCTCTTGGTTGATATCATACTTTCTCAACCCGTCCATTTTCCTGAAAATTTCATTTTTTTGGTTATAGCTTATTTTCCGTCTCTACAGCACACTTTCATTTTCCATTTGTTAGTGGTTATCTAAGCTGGTTTCGTTTCCTTGCCGTCATAAGTATGGCAGCAGTAGATATGTGTGCCAGTGTCCCCGGCAGGGGATGGGTCCTTCGCAGGGGTTGTTGCTCAACTTCCTTATGGAAGTTTCAGGTTTACACCCCCCCCCAACTTTCCCTATTATCAACATCTTGCATCGCTGTGGTACTTCTCTCTTTCTCTCTCCCCCCTCCTATGCTGGGGATGGAACCCAGGGCTTTACACATGCTAAGCTACACTAAGTCATACTCCCAGGCTTTAGAATCTATGTCTCTTAACTGTTCTGTTTCTAGAACGCCCCATCTTTCACTTAGCAATTGTGCATTTAAAGTTCCTACATATGTTTAGCTCCAGAGCTTTTTTATATTTAACTGTGAATCAAGTTTTGTTGTCACATACTAAAGGACATCTTAATTGATTCCACAACCGGGCAGGGGAATTGCAAGTTCAAGTCCTATCTGGGCCACAAAACAAATTCAAAGCAAGACCTGACATCAAAATCAGTAAAAGCCTGCTCCATGGTAGAGTGCTTGCCTGGCATGCACAAAGCTCTGGATTCAAACCAGTGCCACAAAATGACAAAAATAACGTCTTTTCTTTCTTGTTGTTTTTCCTTTACGAGACCAACAAAATCACTGTGCAGTAAACAAAAAGCACGCATGTTTAGCTAAGATGTGCCTAGGATATGCAGGAACCCACATTTGAGCCTTAGCACCACAAGCAATATTCAAGCTGCGAATGGTGGCACTCACCTGTAGCCCCAGGTACTTGAGAGGCTGGGGCAGGATTACTTGAATTTAACTGAACATGGCCAGCCTGGACAACATGAAATAACCATACTCAAGTTACTTCAATCTGATTGATTCCCCAGAGAATGGGCCTACACTATGCACCACTCAACTGTAAATGATTTTTTTTTTTTAATTGCTGATGTCAATTGATTTGGTACAACTACACGTGGAAGGCAACCACTATGACAAGGGCTATAGAATCATTTCATCTTTTTATTTATTTATTTATTTATTTATTTTGGTTTTTTGAGACAGGGTTTCTTGTAGCTTTGGAGCCTGTCTTGGAATTAGCTCTTTGTAGACCAGGCTGACCTCAAACTCAGAGATCCACCTGCCTCTCGAGTGCTGGGATTAAAGGCATGTGCAACCACCACCCAGCCTCGTTTCAGATCTATTAAAGTTTTCAAGACGGCATCATCAAGCACCTGTCCTTGACAGCAGTCACTCTACCGCAGGACGTGAAAAAAGACCCAGGGTCTCAGATGAGAAACGAGTCAGTGCTCCAGTACTAAAACATGCAGTGCACAGTACAGTGCCCTGATCAGCGGCACAGAATTCTGGGCAATATACTGCAAGAAGGCGAAGTCCTGTAACACCATCACTCCAGAAAATGAAACTGTGAGCTCGATGCCACCGTGGGGTATATAGAAAGGTCCTGCCTTTAAAAAGACATGCATGTCAAGACATACCCTCTATTATAAACACAGTGCAGATATTCAGAATCGTATTTAAGGATGATCTGGATGGCAGGCACATCTCTAATCCTAGCAAGGCAGTGAGCAGAGGAAGGTAGCTCAGGCTCTAAAATGGAAGGTTGTAGTTGCAGACACTAAGCCTGCTTTCAAGACACTTAAGAGCAGATGTGAGGTTAAGTCCCTGTTTGCATGACAGTCCTACCTTAGAAATTCCCAAAGGGTTTTGTGTATTTTGGTTTTGGGTTTTCTTTTTTTTTTTTTTTTGTTTTTGTTTTTGTTTTTTTGAGACAGCATTTCTCTGTGTAGCTTTGGAGCCTGTCCTGGAACTCACTGTAGCCCAGGCTGGCCTTGAACTCACAGAGATCCACCTGCCTCTGTCTCCCAAGTGCTGGGATTAAAGGTGTGTGCCACCACCACCCAGCTCACAAATTATTTTTAAAACAAGCTTCCAGACAATGTTCAGTCAAACAATAACCTTCCTTGGTCATTCCAAACGGGGAATCCCTAAGTATGACGCTCACGGATCCCCTCGTGGCTCCTCACTGTCCTGTTCTCCACATCCCAGGCAACATCCCAGTCACTGACAAAGAACACCCGAGAAGTGTTCTTAATAGCAAACTTTATTTTCACAGGAACATCATTTCATAGCAGACCTATACAAAAGATCCCACATCACAAATGTCACCGAGAGATTCCGCACACTCTGGGCAGGCCTTGTGGCTCTGGGGCCCCCCCCATGTTGACATCCTTGTCTACTGGTCCAGAAAGGAGACATGCCATCACACAAGAACGAAACTGCATGAAGGCAGCATCTGCTCTCAGGCTCGACGCTCGCCACCCCTGACCAGTTACAACAGCAAAAGCTCACCGTCACCTCTGCGTGCTCGGTGGACATTTGTAAAATGTCAGAATGTGTAAATACGCTGCACTTTTTTCTTCAGACATTGTAAATGTGGACATGTGGGGAGTTTCAGTTCTTCAGGGGCCCAAGCGCAGGTGTGGCTACTACGGATGAGAACCCAACACACTGATCCCAAGCTTGGCAACCATCAGCAAACTGTTCAAAGAAAAACAAGTGATCAGGCTAAGGACATACAGGTGAGTGTTGTTTCAAAGGATCAAAGGCTGCAGGTCCCGCTCAACTGTGTGTGAAGGGAGGAGCTGAAGTAGAGCAGACTGGAAGAAAACATCTCCTTCCGGGAGGCAAAGAAAAACCACAGAAGTCTCACAGGGACACACAGTACCCCCAGACCAATGCCAATAATCTGGAAGAGCTGAGGAAATGAGGGGAAGAGAGAACAAGGCCTCAGAGGTCACAGGGTTGGCCAATTAATGGCAGGTCTCCTGCCTCCCAGTCTAGTGTTGTGACCTTGGCCTATGTTTTCTTTCCAGTGTTTAAGACTTAGGTCAACAGCATAAACAGCCAAAGACAAGCAAAGTATCTATCTTCCCGAGACAAGCAAAGTATCTATCTTCCCGAGACAGGTTTTGTTGTTGCTTTTGTGTTTTTTTTTTTTTTTTTTTAATTCTCCTACCTCCAGAATATGTTTATTATACTTAAGAACTTGTCAATTTAAGACAGTTTCACAATTAAATAGAAAATGGAATTCAGTAAAAGAAATTTCGTTTTAGAAAAACTTTTAATACAGGACATTCAAGTAACTAACACACAGGGAACTAACGCGGACAGTCTCACACAGCCACACCCAGGGGTTTGCTCAGAGGCTTGTGACATTAGTACTGGAGTCTAGGGCAGTCCACAGAGAAAATTCAAGATCATGTCTACAATGAATGAAGTCCTAAATCAACTACAAAGGCTTTTTTCCACTTGTGGAGAAAACTCCCTCTAAAAAATGGGAGGTGAAGTCTAGGATCAGGCACACTGAAGTGAGCACATTTCTGACCAAATGAAGTGTCTTGAGCAAAAAGCCAACCACGGTCTGGGTGAAGAGAAATGGAAAGGCAAGTACCTGGCACCTGCGATTAGACCTGCAGGCATGAATTTCCCGGAGTTGTAGAACCTCATCCCCATAATGCCAGCCAAGGTCCCGGATGTAGCTGAGAAAGAGAAGTCCAACAGTCAGCACACCCTCCATGCAGGGGAGGAGTGAAGTCCTGCCTCCTTTTCGAGGTCCAGACTTCACCCTATAATGGTGATGGTGGTGGTGGTGGGGAACACTGAGCTTCACTGCTGCCCACAAGAGTCAGGTCTAAGTACAAATACTGGCCACATTCTGCTATAGTTGACTCAGGACTGTTCCTTGAAGCTGATATTCTGAGTGCTTGGTTCTCATCTTAGGGCACTCCTTTGGAGTTTATGGAGTGGACAGAGGTAGATCAATGAAGCTTTGAAGGCTACATCCACCCTAGGTCTCCAACCATATTGTAGCGCACAGAACAGGCACTGCGTTACAATTACCTGACTTCCCAATGAACTTGAATACTCCCCAAAGGCAAGGTCTGTGTCTGACAGAATTAACTGTCCATAAAAAGGGAGAGACGCTCAACTGGGGAAAAGGCTACGTGGACTCAGGGCCTCATGGGATGTGTAAGATTTCTCTTAAGTTTCAAGCAAGCTGTCTTGAGTGTGAAAGCTCAACACACTGTTTAAAACACATCTCACCGGGAAAATTAAATCCATGTAGTATAAAACCCTTCTGCATTCTGTATACAAAAGGGAAACAACTCAAGGTTCACCACCGTGAGGCCCATCTATACCTCGGCAGAAGCAGGTGACTTGGCAGGAAAAAGAAACTCGCCACACCTGCCCAACAGCGTGTCAGAACCAAACAGAACACAGCTGCAGAGTCTGAGGCAAACCTACCTAGGAAAACCCACACATTCCTGGGATCCTGGGACAGCTGGTAAGCACCAAGGCCTGCGAGGCCTCCAAAGAAGAGTCCGGCAGCCAGGGATGGCACACTGCCTGGGGAGAAGCAAACAGGCATACATCTGGGTTGTAATGTCGCACATTACAGATGGAATCTACGAGACTTCCCTCCCCTCCAGAGTAAAAAAAAACTACAAAAGAGCATTCCCAAGGCTCAGAGCCACAGGGCTCCCAAAAGAGGGGAGTCTACCAGAGAAGATGGGATCTTACCATCCCCGTTGGGAGCTACTGGGGGCTGTGGTCCCCTGGACCCTGGATTCCCTGTGAGAGGCTTGTTTTCCTCTGCTCTGAGCAGCCTGCAGCTGCTCTGAGCACAAGACCCTGATGGCAGGTTGGTGGGTCTGTCTGCAGGTGAAAGAGCCCGAGAGCTGGGGCGTGGCCAGAACCCTATATAAGCTGCCCCTGGACACAATAAACTCAGTATTCTTGTATCAAGCGTGACCCGTGTCTATGTCTCCATCTCTCTGGGTCTGTGTTTTTAAGGCTCTCAGCCCAGTTCCTGGCTTGCGTACCAACTTGTAGCAGCACGGGAGCTACGGTGTAGCCTCCACGCACAAGCGGAGGCCCTCAGCGAGATCAGGAACTACGAACCCCTGAGAGATCGCTCATGATTATATAGAAAAGGGGCATTCTTGTATCAAGAATGACATGTGTCCTCGTGTCTCTGCGCATGTGATTTTAAGTCTCAAGCCTGGTTCCTGTAGTGCAGGCGCTACTGGACGGTCAGTTTTTACACACCCCAACCCTCACTCGTTCAGGAGGGGGGGACTCAATACAATGCTTGTCTAACCCACACAAGGCCCTGGCTTCAGGCTGGTGTTAAACAGATAACACAGACTGCGTAGAGACAAGGTTTCCCTCTTGAGGAGCTGACAGTGCACTGGGATCTGGTGTATGGCAAAGGGTGATAACAACCACCCACTACCACCTCTGCCTATCTGTAAACAGAAAAAAAGAGAAAAGAGATGCCTGGCTCAACTTACCCAGATAGCCCAAGGCCAGTGCAGGAAGAGCCAGGAGCCTGGCTATGCAGGCTGCACTCAGGGGCCTAGCAAAGCCAAGTCGAGCAAAACTAGGCTTTGAGGACCCTGGGGACCCCCATTTCACTGGACTCACTGACAGTCTTAAGAGTAACAGGAAGGGCTTACCTGCTTTTGCATAGCCAATAATCCCACCAGTGGCAACCAGGGCTGCATAGCCGAAGCCAAGATAATGTAAAGGCACCCTGGAACGGCAAAAGGGAGAAGCCAGTGACAAGCAAGTTTAAAACACAGCACAAAAATCACAGTGTGAAGCTCAGGCTGGCGATCCGAGTCTGACTGGATTACAACAGGGCAGAAGGAGAAAACCAGCTCCGACAAACTGTCCTCTGACCCCTGGACACGCAACATGACACTTGTGCATCTTAAACTATGTTAAAGAAACATGGTTTTTAAAATCACTGGCAGGGATTAAAAAAAAAAGTCATTTCTAGCAAATCTTGTTACTGTATGGACAGAACTAGAGGCTGGGTGACATGCCAGAACTAGCCAGAGGTCAAATTCGATTCAAATCCAGGTCAAAGGCCACTAGTTCACGGATCATGCCACAACCCAGGCTGCCCCTAGGCTGTGGCGGGCTGAAGGCTCCTGTCGCATGCTCTGGTTTCAGAAGCTCCGGGTGGTTCTATTCCCACACAGTGGGCACTTACAGTGGGCCACTGTCCTTCTGCATTGTTCAGTCGCTTTGGAGATCACACCAGGCCTGCACCTGTGGGGGAGAGGTCAGAGCAGTTAGAACACTCACGCCTCTAACAGAAAGAAAAGAGTTCAAAGTACAGCTCTCCGTAGTAGTGCAAACAGGTCCTTGGGCACACACACAGCTTCTGGTTCCCCTTGATATGCAACCCGGTGAAGGTAACTGGGTTAACGGGTAAAGCCTTCCTTCCGTATGAACGGAAGTGCTGGAGAGGGACCAAGTATTTCTACAACCTTCGCTATAGCACAGGCCCACAGAGGGCCTCCTTCTCCTGCTTGGTACCTGTCCACAGCTGACTGTTTCAGCAGTTAATTGAGTGGTGGCTAAATCAGAACCCAAACGGCCTATGCCTCAACTCTTCTAATCCTCTCCGAGGGTCAGAATGCTGCTTCCCCACAGATGTCAACACTCATCTTACAAACTTTTAGAAACCCTTGGATCCGACACTCAACTCCTGTTAGGCTGGAGCGAGGGACAAGAAAATGCCCGGGAGCCCGAGCCACAATTGCACTGGGCGCCACACGCCGACAAAGGAACTAACTCCCGTTCTCTCACAGAACAACCCTCTGCAGCACCGAAGCAGCGCAGGCGCTTTTGGGTCTCCACTCCCGGAAGGCTGGGAACCTCCGGGTCAGGAGAGAGTCGAAAGCGCCGAGTTCAAGAACGTTTTAGAGGGGCAGAGAGCGGGCCGGTGAAGCGAGCTTAGCAGAGGGTGCACCGGAGAGTCCCCCGCGCCTGCGGGCTGGGCGGCCGCGTGCAGAACAATTCCCGAGAGGCAAAAGGAGCAAAGTAAGAACACACCGGAATCGGAGCCCGGAGGCCTGCGCTGAAGGACGAGCGTGCGACCGCACAGCAAGGGTAGCAGGTCCAGATTCGGGTCTGCAGACGTCACGGCGCGCGCTGCGTCCGGGCGGGAAGGGCGGGGCTTGAGGCGATGGGCGGAGCCTAGGGGAGAGGATGGGCGACACCTAGGGCGGGAGAGGGGCGGGGCTTGGTCCCGGGCCCGTTGTATTTTGCATTCTTGGGAGAGGTGGGGCTTGAGGAGACGTGGGTTTGGCTTCCAGGTCTGGGTCCCAGCTTCGAGGCAGGGAAGAGGTGCAGTGCCTGGCCCATAAGCTGCCATTGGGAGGATGAGTTGGAGGGGGTTAGCTTAGCCAAGAGAAATATCAAGACAACACTCAAAATCAGTAGCCAGTGTCTTATTACTAAATCAAACTTTTACATCTAATGTTTTTATCTGCATAAATGCCTCAGGATAAAAGCCCTTGGGACACATAGCTTGCTTGAGCCAGCAATAGACAGCAGCTGGAAAAATATCCAGGACACCAAAGGAAGAAAATCCTTCAAGTAGTCCACAACTGTCTCTAACTCCCATTCCTCTCACAGCACCTCCACACATATGTGAAGGCAAAACACCAATGCACATAAAATAAAAATAAAACTTATCACAGATTTTACTTAAAGTCGGGCTGGGAGAGGGAGTGCATGTATTATCTTTCCACAACTGGGCTTCTGGAGTTGAACTCTGGTCTTTGTACCAGATTGGCAAGTACCCTCACCCACCACCACGCCATCTTCTTTTGATTTCTACTTAAATTATGCCCTTGGGGCTTCCCATCCTTTAATATCAAGACATTCAGGCAACTGACATCTATTGAGCTGTCCTGTTTTTTATGAATGTTAAGTGTGTACGTAGGTAAGTAGGTAGATCTGGCTATCTTGGAACTTGCTATGTAGAAGACCAGGCTGGCCTTAAACTATCTGCCTACCTCTGCCTTCTGAGCACTGACTTTAAAGGTGTGTGCCAATACTTGACAAATACATTCTATGATGAGGGTGGTAGTAACAGGTCACTGTCATTAGGTACACCTACCGTGTGCTAGGCTCGTTTGAAGACGTACACACACTGACACATCTTGGTAACCCATTATGTCTGGTCTATGTGTCTGGTTATGGCAACAAGGAAGTGAGCCAAGACTGGTTTAGACTAGCATAAGTGGATGGCTATTTTGATGCTCTGAAAGATGGGAAATTGAGAAGTGTTGTTTCCTTGCCTTTCAATTTGCTTGTCACTCACTGCTTAGAAGCAGAGTCATCTGAAAAGCCCTTCATCCACTCTGGTTAAGACTTGACACGTCTGCACAAGGAAAAAGGCGCTGGGTGCTGGCGGTGCACAGGCAAAGCTTGCTAGCATGCAAGGCCCTGGGTGTGATCCCAAGCACCACCACATACAGTAAAAACTCTGGATCATTTTAAATACAGTAGTTTTACATCTTTACTTGCTTTGAACAGTAAAAAGTGTACATTACAATGACTACATATGACAATATATAATAAAATGCCATCTGCCAAAAATAATTTTACTATTTAACAAAACAAAGCACCACATAAAAGTGGCTCAGTTTTAGGCTACACGTTTTCTCCAGAAGGAGAAAATCATTTTGTGTCTCACATGGGAAAAGTTAGGAGTGATATCTGAAAAGGAGAATTTGTCAAGAAGACATTCTCTTGGGGAGAAGATGTCTGAGATTTGCCATGTAAGTTATATTTTCTTTTTTCTCTTCTTTTCCAACACGTCTGTCATTTTCCTCTTCTTGGCTGACACTGGGCTATTTCCTTTTGTTGGCTTCTTGCTGTCACCGGTTAAACCAGACTTCTTTGAGTTAGGTCCTGATATTTCTTCTTCCTGATTCTTATCACCAGATTCCTTTTTGATCTTTTTGGGTTGTTCTTTATTTACTAAAACACAAGAGATAACACATTAAGTTTCTCACTCTCAAGTTAAGTTTTAACAACTCAGGAAGGAGCAGAGTGCTCAATCTTTTAAATGGTTGACTTAATTTACCAGGGCAAGGCTCTGTTGCTGGAGGAAGATTCCCTTTTCCATCTGTTGCTCTGTCTAACCACACTCCAAGACACGTCAGCCTGGCACCAGTGTCCACCTCACAGAGCAAAGATGGGGGATCTTTCTGAAACAGAAGGGAAAAACCTTATACTTAGCCGAGAGGAATTTTCGGATAACAGCTTCTTTTTCCATAATGAAATAATCTTAGTTGAAGTCTTATTATACCATTATGTACCACTAAAGAATGTTTCAGTCACTGCCAGAATGAGTGTACCATTCCACGCGTCACAGTACCCATGCAGACATGTTCCACCAGGGTTTACATGAACACACTGAAGAAACTGCCTAGCAATGTCTTCTGTAACATCACCCGTCAGGTGCTGCGAGCTTGTATTTTCCTGGGCATATGATAACAATATCAGAGTTCGCTGACTACTGTGGTTTATAATTGATCTCACTAGGCCGTTCACAGAGCCAATGTCTTCAAATTAGAAAATTCTAAGGACACAAGTGATGTCTTGTGTAGACAAATCACACCCGCAGAGTTGAAAACAAACAATACTAAATTGAAAGGAAGAAGACTAAAGAAAGGAAATCAGTGTTTGATTATCTGGTTCAAGATCTTTCAAACTGTTTTTAGTAATGGCAATCTTTTTTTCTCTAGTATTTTTAAAAGATAAAGACGACACCAAAAAAGCAAGGCACATTAAAAGGATTAGAAGGGTAATAGGCCTGAGACCTAATCTTAATCAGCCCAAAGCCTCCAGGCAGCTCTGCAGTAACCCTAACTTTAAAACTACCAATACAGACCATGACTGGAAGAGATTTTAAAAGCTTAAGGATCTATGTTTTATGAATCTCATTAAACAGACTGTTAAAGTAATACTTTAATATAGTACTATCCAGTGTGTTGACACTGGGGGAAGACACTGACCTTATCCTGCTTAAGCGTCCACATTTTGATGAAACCATCATTTGATGCTGTGACAAGAACATGGTGTCCTGGAATTTCAAAACTGAGTATGTCTTTTACCCTAGGATAGAAACATTAATGCCAGAGATCATTTCTTCTGGAGGGTGTGATACAACAGTCTCCTGCTTTCCAATGTTTCAAGTGTTTTCAAAGTGTCCATAAACAACAAGCTAAGATATAACAAGTGCTGCACATTCCCATCGAACAGTGAGCTATTTTCAGGCCAAATATGGGATAAAACTGTCTGGATCGTAAAAACAAACTGCAAGGACGGCTACAAACACTCACACTACCTCCTAGGTCCTACAATCCAGATGAGGATGTACAAGATGAAGCCTGTTAACCCAACCAACTACATATCCAGAAAGGAAAGATGCTGACTTCAGGCTCACCAAGAGGAAGCGAAAAACAAACTTCTCCAACTCCAGGGCAATCACCACTTCAGTCTAAGCTGCCTTTTTCTTTCTGGATCATGGCTATTGCCCATCACACCATTCACCTTCCACTTCTGCTGGATAAATGTTTCAGATAGAAGTAAAACCACGCCATCACCAGGCCTAAAAACCTCAAAACTATAATTTACTTTAAAATAACATGGATGGAACCAGCACGATGGCTCCGTCAGTAAAAACACCTGCTAGGTAAGCCAGCTGGCCAGAGTTCAAGCTCTAGAACCACATAAACGTGGAAGGAAAGAATCGCCTCCCAGAGTTGTCCTGACCTCCACACACTCACTGCGGGTGCCCCACCCCCATACACACCTCTCAGACACACAGCACACAATTAAACAATAATAATTAAAGCACCACGGAGGAGGAAGTGCCTGGGGATAAGAACGGAGCTCAGGCTGGTCCTGAGGTGGCTCTACAAATAGGCTCCCTAACTGACCTGCTAGCCTTTCAAGTTTTCTCTAAGTAAACAAGACAGGCTGGGAAGGAAGCTCAGCTAGAGCATCCGCCAAAGTACCTCGGCCTTGCTACAGTGTGGTCCATGGGAGCCCAAGCTCCCAAATGTTTTGCTCATCACAGAAAAGAATGGCGAAGTAGAACTGTCGTGAATACATTAGAAACGGCTTTCCTAAAATGACTTTACTTCCTAATACCGGGGGAAAACACTGGACACCAACTGCAGGACTGAAGGTTTACAAAGACAGGTTTCTCAAAACAACCATTCCCAGAAAGCAAGATTTAAGACTTACTTGAGACATGGAAGAACAAGCTGATGAACTACACTGGAGTAAAATGCTGTATGCTATTGCCTTTCTCAAAATTAAAAAAAAAAAAAAAGCAGCACATCGAGCATCCGCTGGCCTGGATTTGGGAGAGCTCCCTTACTTAAGATGGAATGATCCTGGCCAAGTTAATGATCTCTTACTCTGAGACTCACTATCTACCCCCTTATATACATATACCAAGCACTTGGAGATGGAGCTCGATAATGTTATTTCATTTTTCCTATGAAGGAAAATTGCAGGGAAAGGGGGCAGTGGGCAAAGAGATTAAGAAAAGGAAGAACAGTCGTCGAGAACAAAGCTTTCGCTTTGCTCAAATATGCTTGATATTAGGCTCCCCACGTCAAAGAGTAATTTTATTATTATTATTATTTCGTTTGTTGGTTTTTGTTTTTCAAAACAGGGTTTCTCTGTAGCTTTGAAGCCTGTCCTGGAACTTGCTATGTAGACCAGGCTGCTCTCAAACTCACAGAGATCTGCCTGTCTCTGCCTCCCGAGTACTGGGATTAACAAAGGAATGCGCCACCACTGCCAGGCCTAAGAGTTATTGTCGCAGTCACTTCCCTCCTCTTGCATTATGAAATCCAGGGATATAATAACACTTCCCATCATCTCCTTAGATGCCAGGCATCACAGCCATGTGACATGTCTGAGTCCCCTTGGTGTTATTCAGAGACACACATGCACCCACAGATTTATGAAGTTACTGCCAGTTGACATTCAGTAAGACACAGACTGCTTTAGAAAAAAAATACCTGTTTTCATGAGCTTTAAATTCACAGAGGCACTCTAGGGAATCACAGTCAAAAAACCTTACAACTTCTTCATCTCCAGCTACTGCAAGGACAGAGTCCTAAGAGAAAGAAAAACAATACTCTGAATATCCCCAGGAATTATGACACCTCAAAACTTCCACCCCTGCTTTCCGCAACTCACTGAAAGAAACGTGACCGATGAGATTCTCTTTCCATTTGTGATGGTGCCGCTCACGGACGCCGTGTCCAGCTGATAGACATCCACTTTATTCAGTACAACTACTATGTACTTCTCTCCACTTGGGGACCACTCCACTATGTGAGCATCTGTAGGGCAAAACCATCTTTATCTTACCAGGCCACCTCAGTGCTTGGGAGGTAGAGAAAGGAGAATTCAGGAGTTTAAGGCCAGCCTCAGCAACAGCAATTTTGAAATCACACTAGCCTATATGAGACTCTGTCTCAACAGCCCTACCCCATCTTACAAAGACTTTTTTCTTTAAGAAAAAAAAAAAAAAGACATAATAAAAAAAAAAGGAAAAATGAATTTTTCCCAAGGGGAAATGGTTGTAATCTCAAAACAAATCCCTAACATACTTCAGAAGGTAAACTGTAGGCAAATGCAGTTTAAGGAACTACTGAGTCCTAAAGACGGTGTGTGGCAGAACCCAGAGCGAACACAGAAGAGAAAGTAACGTGAAACACTTGTTCTCAGAAGCCATCACCATCTGATCAGGAAGTACATGTGTACACACACGGACAGAGAATGAGACCATGGCTGGAGGAATGGCTCAGCGTTAGCAGCTCTTCCCACTCCTGCAGGGGACCCATGTTCATTTCCCAGCACGTGGTTCAGGGGAATGGACACCCTCTTCTGGCTCTAACAGCACCAGGCACACGTGCCCACATATCTACATGCAAGCAAAGCACTCAGGCGCATTAAATAAAAACCAAATACATCTTTTTAAAAAGGGGCTGGAGAGATGGCTCAGCAGTTAAGAACATAGACTTCTCTTCTAGGAGACCTGGGCTTGATTCCCAGCACCCACATGGCCATCTGTAACTTGAGTTCCAGGGGATTCAATGTCATCTTCTGACCTCCAAGGGCATCAAGGATCCAAGCAGTACACAGACGGTCATGGATGCAAAATACTCATACACATAAAATAATCAATATATAAAAAATGTACTTGTGAACATTCATAGTCTAGCTAGTTATTATAAAATGTACAAAATACTCACTTTGTTTTATATTTTTTATGAAAGCGGATCTTCCCTCTACAAGATTCCATGTTCTGCAAAAAAGGAGGTTTGTTTAGAGCATGATGTCACTAAGTGGGAAAAAAAATGCACAACAGGCCTCCACACGGGGCAATTCCACTACAGACTATATACTTAAAAAGCAGCTGCCCTTGACTTTGTAGCAGTATCAACAATGTTTCCTTCCTTTCCTGACACTTTAAACACATTGTCAACTGCACTTTCACCCAGTCACACATTCTCTTCAGGGCCACTCTCCTCCCCATTCCCCGTGCAGTAACAGAAACATGGGCTGCTTTTTTTTTCTTACAGGGTCTCAGTCTGGAACTTGCTATGTAGACCAGGCTGGCCTCACATTCACAGAGATCCATCTGCCTCCGCCTCCTAAAGACTGGGGTTAAAGACATGAACCATCTTGCCTGGTCAATATAGATCATTTTTACAGCAGCGTTACAAAATAGTTTCTGCTGACTTCCTTTCTGCTTTGCTCTTATTATCACAACTTAAAATTGTTGAAAACTTTGGACCAATATGGACCAATAACAAGTATCTTGTTATTGCTAAGTACAAGATACATTAATAAAGATGCCCTTGGGAATTTATAACTTACCTTAATGTCTTATCAGTACCAACAGACAGGGCCAACTTGCCGGACGGGTGGATAGAAAGGAAAGTCACATGTCCTCTAAAAGGAAAGGGACAGTTAGCCCTCAGCTTGACTGGCACAGGAGAATGCCAATAGGGCCACAGCGACTCACTTGTGAGCTTTAATGGATTTCAGGCATTCCCATTTCTTTGCGTCCCAGACACAGATGAGTCCGTCTTCTGCACCACTAATTAAGTGTCGAGTGCCATAGAATTTTAGGCAAGTTACAGTGCCTATGAAAAGGAAGACAGGCAACCATCATATTGACTTTGAACACAAATTCTATGTCTGGTTGGAAGTGCAAGAGGATGAATGCAGTCTGGAAGTGGCTCTGCCTAGCACAGACAAGACCCAGGGTGAATCCCTAGCACCAGGAAAGCAGGGAAAGTCAGTGCCTTGGCACTACTGAATTACACCTTAAAAGTGTGGGGAAAGGAATCCATGTTCTTCTTATTGAAACCAACAGTTTTCATTTGTTTTGGTGCCTCTGGAAAATTAAACTCAAGAGTCTCTGTGTATGCTGAGCTGTAAGAATACAGCTTTAGGGGCTAAAGAGATGGTGCAGGGGCCAAAAGCCAGTGGCTGCTCTTCCAGCCCCAATTAAATGCTTTCTATTTGTAAGAGCTGCTTTGGTCACGGTGTCTTTTTATAGCAATAGAATAGTGACGAAGACACACTCACCACTGTGGTGCAGCAGAGCCCCATGCTCTATCTTTTTTTTCAAGTCATAGATGTGAATTGTTTCATCTTTGCTCCCGGTGACCACAAAGCGATTGTTGGCTGCCACTGCTGACAAGGAGGCAGTGTGGGCATGGTGAGTGAAGTCAGCCACAGGAGTCCATGTCTAAGACAGAATGAAACGTACAATCAACACCACAGTCACATCACAGTTCTCTGAAAATACAGTTCTACCATCTACAGAATCAACCAGTGTATCCTGCAAACAGAGAAAAACTAGGTACTAATACACAGATTAAAGCAAAATGACTTGAGACCCGAATAAGGAGTGTAAGTTAAGCTCGGCAGCATATCTCCAGATCCCAATAAGGGAGACTTACATAGAGGCTTCCATATCAGTAATTCATTCAAATGCTCGGCTTTTTATGAGAAATAATTGCAGTAACAACTGCCTGTTCTCTCTAACTGGTATCTATGTAACTAGTCTATTATATATGCTTGGTAGAAATAACAATGAACTAAAAGGTCTGTACTCAAGTACAACTTTCACTCCAAGGAAAGAAATACAAAACGAATGTGATGTTACACAGAGATAAAGACAGGGTAAGCCCTATAAAGAAAAATAAGACCTATGGGTAAATTTTCATTAGAACCAACATGAGCCCTTGAGAACTGCTAATAATGAGACTCAGGGACCAGGTGCTCAATACTGCATGGTTTTTAGTTTGAGAAACGTGACTGAATGAGTACAAAGTACAGAACACATGCGCACACATACACAGTACTCTTGAATTGAAGAAACTGTGGAAAGTATTATTAACCAAGGAAGGAAGAAGAAAACAAAACCCCCAGCAAAGCTCTTTGAAGATGCCTATGGTGAATCACTGTGGTCCTAAAGAACTACAGCAGTGGACAGTCCTCCATCAGTCAGGAACAGGACTCCTTGGACTCAAAACACAACATACCTGAGACATGTGGCTTTACTTCTTCTAAGTTTGTTTCTTTCTTTCCTGTCTCCTTTTTGTTTTGTTTTTCAAGACAGGGTTTCTCTGTAGCTTTGGAGATTGTCCTAAAACTCACTCTGTAGATCACGCTGGCCTCAAACTCAGATATTCGCCTGCCTCTGCCTCCCAAGTGCTGGGATTAAAGGTGTGCACCATCCCCACCCAGAAAAAAAAAAAAAAAAAAAAAAGGTTCTCCCTATGTAACCCCAGGCTAGTCTTGAAGTCACTGTGTAAGCCAGGCTAATTTTATCCTTTTTTTTTTCTCTGTCTTCTATTTTTTCCTTTGAGACATGATCTCGCTGTGTAGTTACTGCTGTCCTAGAACTCACTAAGCAAACCAGATTGCCCCGGGACTCAGAGAGATCTTCCAGCCTCTGCCTCCAGAGTACTGGGATTAAAGGCATGCGCCACGACAGCTGGTTTAAACATTAAACTCTTAATTTTCCTGCCTAAGCCTTTTGAGTACAGACATGAGCCACCAGACTTAACATGCAAGTTTCATATCAAAGTACTACTTCTTTATTCAAATTACATAAATAATACTGGTTACCTTGGCTATTGGCTAGATTTAGAAGCAGCATCTGGTAACGTGAAAACCGTAAGCCTGGGAAACGCCTGGTGGACCCTGATTTGTATTTATAAAGTGTCTGGCCTTGAACAGTCTCTTGCCCTGTGAGAAACCTCCCAATTGCTGTCTGTAAATGAGAATGGCTGAATCTGTGTCAGGGTTGTTGTGTATCGGAAATAAGTACATTACAAAGAAAACACACCAAGGAAGTGCCCAACAGAATGGATTTATGGGTGATAAGTGAACTGTTCAGAAGTGTTCATCTGGAGTATTAGGAGATCACATTCCTAGTCCTGTATATGGCCGTGTTTTCTGTTTGACTACCATGTTGCCAATGACCTATACCTTATTTTCATAGCTAATAAAAGTAAATTTCATACTGTGCTACACGCCAAGTATTTCTCTTTCTTGTTTGCCAGCCCTTCAATCTGGAAGGTTGCTAGAGCAGGAACCACACCTCTGGTACCTCTTCACCCTACCACAGTAAATCACAATAAATGGTGAATTTGTATTACTTTCTTGATCCCAATCCAGACGTAGTATTTTGTTCATTAGGACAGAAACTCAGGGAATGGTAAAGTTACTTTTACGTTAGACTTTGAACAGCTAACGTTTTTTGTCAGCTTAAATGGACGCCTCGTTTTTGTATATGTGTTTCAAATGCCAGCTTTTTCGTGCCCCGAGAATGCTTTAAGTTTTCCTTCCTTTGAATGAACATAACTGCATTTTTTATGGGGCACAATACATATTTCAATACATACAATACATATTTCAACACATACGTCGAACAGATGTGAAAAAAGCAACCTATCTATCCCCTCAATCACGTGTCATGTCTTGGAGTTGACAACATTCAACCTTACTAGGCAAAAAAATTAGGTCATTCCTCCCATCCAACTGCATTTCTGCAAGCATTAGCCATCCTCTCTTCGTTACCTCCTTACCCTGGCTCCAACTTTCCACACTGTGATCAACTTTTTCGTTTCCATCTATAGACATTTTTATTTACTATAACAGTAGATAATCTCCTTCTGAAAATCCTTTACTCTGTAAAGAGCAGGGTCTTTCTATACAGGCTTTGAGCTCTCCTGCCTCAGGCTCTCGAGAGCAGGGATTCCCGGCATAAGCTTACCCGTTATCCACACAAATCCTCCAGCTATCCACGGAGGCCCAGCA